AAAAAAGCCAAACAAACTAATGAAACTATAAAACAAAAACAAAAAGAACCAAATGTACATAGACCACTTCCTGTTCATCCGCCTAAAAATCTTCCTCAATCAGTAACCGATAAAACTGGTGAGTAAAAATATTAAGCTTTATTTATACATTTTCTATGTTTTAAATTAGTTTGTAATATATTTTTTGCTCTATTTTAAATATATATATATTAGTTATTTGGTTGTATAATTTTGTATACTTTACTCTATTCAAAATAAGAAAACGAGTCGTCGCCAACTGTGTTTTTTTTATTTTAAATAGAGTATAATGATATAAAAATATCAACTTATCTTGAAATTAATTCTAAAAAATGTATAAGCACCTGGAATTCATGTATATTATACAAATTCTACCCATGTTTAAAAATTAAAAGCTATCTGTTGGTGTATAGATGATGATTTAGTTTGTTTCAATATGACTGACTCAATTGGATAGTGCATGCATAACATACTCATAAGCACCCATATTTGTATTGTTTGATTAATAATTTATTAACTATAATAATAATCCAGTCTTTAATTTCAGAAAATTTTATTTGGGTTTTTTTGGTTATGGTTCTTTAAAATAAAATACATGTGTGATATTCAAATAAATATTTTAGGTGTATTAAACAAAATTTGTGGTTTATTTATTAGATGTTATATATTATGTGAACAATTTTATATTATAGTTTCTATATCAAATGAAATAACAACAATTATTGAAGTATGTTGATACATAAAATGGTGATTTTTTTTTTTCTCTAATAATCAGAATATTTCCAATGTTTCTGCTGTTAATAATGTTAATTAGATAAGAAAGATCTTCAGATATTTAGAAATTTATTTTTGTATTAAATTATATTAAAAAACAAATTATAGACTATTGTTTAAAGGGATTTGATACCRATCATTTTTAAGGAGCTGAATATAGGCAGTTTRAAAACAATTGACATATTCTGTGTGTGCGTGGTGTGTATTTGTGTTTGTAGTTAACGGTTATTATTGTGAGTGCCTGCGCCCGCCCAAGTAACTACTATAATGGTATTTCTTATCTTCGATTATGACAGCTGCACGTACAGTCACATGTCAAATACGCATTGTCGCATGCTAGATGAACATTATTCATTATTTATTTATTTATATTATTTTAAAATTTGAAGGGTTTCAAGTGATAAATTTCAAGAAAGTTGAAAAGTTGTTTCAAGTAAACTTCATAGCAAATTCAAGTGTGTTTTCAGAATAACGTGTCCGATTACTAGAATACAGTTAATACAGTTAACAAAATATATGTATATTTTGGTAGAAATCATTGCTGTATCAAATTCCCTTAAGTTTTGATTTATAACTTTTAATATATTATTTAAATCTTACATTTTATATATTGTGTAATATTTTTCTGTTTCTGAAAGTCACTAAATGTTCTGAATATCCAAAGATTAATTAAGTAATCATACAATTTATTTGATATATGTTCAGGTGCTATTAATGGTGTTCAACAACAAAAAGTAGAGCCAATTATTGTATCAAAAGTTAGTAACGAAAAAATGAAATATAATAATGACAACCTACCAGAAAAATTTCTAAAAGATCTATCTGAAAAGCCTATTGATGAAATAGTCAATTTTATTGAAGGCAATAAAGCAACCAATGAAAAAAGAGCTGCAAAAAAAGCTCGACGCAGAGAGAAAAAAGTAAAATTTAAAAATGTTTTAAATTAATAAACCACTGTATTTAATGATTTTTTTTTTTTTAACTAGGAGGAAATGGAGAGAATAAAAAAAGAAGAAGAAGAAGCCGAACGTAAAAGAATTGAAGAAGAACACAAAAAACAAGAAATAGAAAGACTGAAGCGCGAGGAAGCGTTAAAAAAAGAAAAGAAAAAAGGAAAAAATCAAAACAAACAGCAAAAACAGAATCAGCAACAAAAACAAGTTACTAATTCTAAAACTCAGCCAATAACCAAGCAACAAGTACAGCAGAATACTCAATCTTCTAAAAAGAAAAACAAGCAATCTCAGGGAAATAGTAATAAAGAAACTGTGCCAATTAAAAAAGATGAAAAAGGCAAAAAAGATGACGTAGAAGGTGCAAAAATGGTTACAATTAAGAGGGATTCAGATAGTTCTAAAGTAACCATTACTTTTAGAGGAGCTGTAGAAGATGATGTTTTATGTACTTTATATGACAATGAAGGTGAGAACATTTGTAATAACTTTTTATCTATTTTGAGTATTTTGTATTACTATTTATTTGACATTATAAATTTGAAGAATATYTTAGATTTTTATTAGAAGAAATTGTACAATGTGTGTTTTTATGTATGCATACCATGTTTCATTTTATATAGTTAACAAATTTTATGTAATACTTTAGGGTTCAGGAAATAGGAGAAATTTGGAATTCTTAGTACTTTCTAGATAATTGAGTGCGAGTTTTCTTTTAATATGAATTACAATAACCTACTTATTAAAAGGTATACTCAAACCTACAATTCACTATACAGCAGGAGAAAATTTTAATGTTTTATTTTTCAATARTTGTAGTTTCTGTCAATTATTTTTTTAAGTGATAATATTCTTTCTATAAATATTTTTTTCTATTTTACATGTCATAATTAATTTTAAATTTTTCCTTTAGTCTTATCTATTTCTTATCTAATATAACTTACATGCTCTATCATTTTTTTTATTTTTAGCTATTAAAGCAATTCAGAGATTGTGTGATAAAAGTAAACAACCTCAAAATATAATTGAGGATAAACCTAATAAAAAGAGAAGCAGGAATCGTAAAAAGAAACACACTGAACCTGAACAACCTGAAATTCAACTTCCATCAAAACCAGTAGAAAGTGTATTAATAACTAATAAAAATGCACCAAAGTTACCAACAAACATGAAGTGGTATTGTTCGCCAGATGTTAACATTACACCCATACCAAGTACTTCAAATTCTGTTCAGTCAAAACCTAACACAGTGTTAATAAAACGAAGTAATAATAATCAAGTATTCACACGTCCTCTACCACC